TCCACTGTTGTCCTCTAAAAGTTGTCTAAGCAATGTCACTTAAGAAGTCTGTAGCCAAGAGTATATTCTTTGAAGTATCAGTAGTTCAGGGAAGCATCAAAATCCATCAGTAGATAACAGAGACTTTATAGCCACAACTACTAACTGTAACCAACAATATCAGAATGGAAGAGTAAAATTTTCTATTGGGGATAAAATATAGCTATTTCAAAAATTTTGAGCAGCATTTCTCCTTACCATAAAGACATTATGAGAGAACTGACTGTTTTTATATGAAGCATGCAATTGCTGAAATAGCTATAACTTTTATTTATATAAATTTAGCCTAGAGAAGGCTGGGCTTCTTTTTTGATATGCTAACTTCCCATGAAATTTACAATTGTGATGCATCTAGCAAACCTAATTATATCTTTTAATTTTTTAATTAAATATATTGTGGTTGTATTGGTTAATAGGATCTTATATGTTTAAGTGTACATTTTTATGATACAAGATCTGTATATTGCATTGCATGCCCACCACCCAAAGTTAAACCATCTTCTGGTCATCACATGAGGTCTGTCCAGAAGGTGCCCAACCATGTAATATGAAAAATAGAGACATTTATTGAATAAGATAGGAGATATAAGAAACATTGTACATAGGACAGTGACACCTCAGTCCCCTTGAAGTAAGCACTGTGGAACCTCACACAGTTCTCCCAGTCCCCATCATATTTTCCTGAATCTTATTGATGGTCTGAAACCTCTTCTCTTTCGAAGGTGATTTTAGTTTTGGGAAAAGCCCAAAGTCACAGATCACCAAATCTGGACTGTAGTGGGGCTGAATTACCTGGTTGTTTTGATGTTTTGCCAAAAAAACTCTACACGAGACGTGATGCCTGAGCAGTGTGTTGTTGTGATCAAGCGTTCGATCAGCAGTTGCCCATAGCTGTGGGCTTCTGATTCGCCTGAATAATTTCTGTGGAGGAATGTTCAAGCTTAATACAAAATTCAATGCATATTTGTTGCTCTACTTGCTCAGTCATTTTGAATGCGATGGCCACACGGTACACATATTCACTCAGAGGCTTCTACCACCCCCACTGATTAGCACAGTGAAATTGTCATTGTTCAGGCACACGCATTCCAGTCCACTCTCCTTGGCTGCCAGGCTACATGAGTGTTGCACATATTGTTCTTGTAATTTAACAATGGATGGACTTTTCCTGCCATATATGTCCATATATGTTTATGTTGTTTGATTTTTTTCTTTTTTTTTAAGACTTTGTATTTATTTTTAGAGAGAGGGGAAGGAGGGAGGAAGAGAGGGAAACAAATGTGTGGTTGCCTCTCACATGCCCCCTACACGCTCCCTACTGGCCTGCAACCCAGGAATATGCCCTGACTGGGGAGAGAACTGGTAACCTCTTGGTTTGTAAGCCAGCCCTCAGTCCTCTGAGCTATACCAGCCAGGGTGATTTTCTTATCAGAACTTTTTAAGTATTTCTGTTTCTTTTTGTAATGGTATCATTTATTTTCAGACAAATCAATAGGATGGCAGTTTGCTCATTCTAACTGGACTTTTGAATTCAACATATTGTTTTCTCCCTATCCTTTACCAATAGGAAATCAGCAATTCTTTTTCTTCCCAGGGCAAGCAGCAGGTTTTCTTGTATGCAGTAGAGGCTGGGGATAATCATTATTATGCTGAACTTTTCCAGAAGATTTTATTTCTGTTAGTGAGACAAGATTTCCTATTATGTATCTCTTTGGATATCTTTTTCCTTTGTCTTTAATTCCTCTTTGCCTGTCATTATGACTTGGATTTTTTAAACTATAAGTTGCTTTGAAGCAGCATTGCACAAGTTTTAATTTCTTCAAATTTAGATCCAGTCTCTGAAAAAACCATCACCCTTATTTAGCAACCACAGAGGGACAGGATTTATTTTCCTTCTTTACCCTCTTTGTGTCACATTCCCCTACTTCCTATCCTTTTGAAACAGGATTCTCACTCAAATATAAAACTTTGGGGATTCCTATTTGGTATATTTGTCATTATAAGAAAGACTTTTCACCTGTTTGATGAGATGGTATTTACTGAGGTATATTAGTTAAGATGCTTTTTGGTTTACAGACAACAGTATGCCCATTTCTATCTCTAATTAACTTTTTAAAAGTAATTTATTGGCTCATGTAACTGAAAAGTAAAGAGGTGGGTAGAGCTCAACAGGGGTTTGAGCGAGCGGTTCAAATCTTGTGAACAGGACCCAATGGCTCTCTTTCTCTTCTGTTCCTCAGGACTGCTTCTTTACTGTTGGTTCCATTATTGCCAGTTATTCCTTTCATGGTCCCAAGATTAAATTCTTGAGGCTGTGTATTTCCCAGAGAAATTTGTAAGAAACAGAGAATTGGTATCCCCAGCAGTTCAAATAAAACTTAAGAGATGAGACCCACTTGCTCCTACTAGCTTGAATTAGGTGTTTCTTGAACTAAAAACTCTGGCTATGTGAAATGGATATGCTGACTATAGTAAGCCAACCTGTCCTGGAGGTTTAGTCAGTCCTCCACCAAACCATGTGACTGGGAAATGCAGTATAGAGCTAGAAAGAGGAAATGGGAAATGGCTGCTGGAGAGGCAACTAACAAATACCTATTATAAGAGGCATTCCTCAAGCCTCTTTATTTTCTGAAAAAGCAAATTGATCAGTTTAGCAAAAACTAGTAACCAGATCACTAGTAATTAACCATTGAAGAGCCAGTACATTGATCAGGTTTCACATTCTTTATCATAAGTAGATAATTGAATTTGGAAAGTAAAAAAAATAGTAATAGAAATAACTCCCTAGTTATATTATGAATTCTTTATAGGCTAGAACAATCTAATTATATTTGCATTCTGAGCATCAAGTATAGAGTTTGGTGCCTAGAAAGAATTTTGTAAATATTAAACTCTAAATTTATATAGTTATAATTTTCCCTGATATGCATTATTTGGTACAAAGAAATAACTTCTTGTAACTCACAGGACGATTAATATTTCCATCTTATACATGAGAAACTGAACTGTGAATGTTGAGTAATTTGCCCCAAATGTTAACTGGGAAACTCAGGACTTAAATCTAGTTTTTCTGATTTTAAGTTGCATAATTTTACATTATTCCACAATGCTTCACATGCCTCAGATTGGGAACCAGCTGAGGGAAATTGTGATGTTTTCTCTCCAACAGGCAATTGGACTGTCCTTTTCAAAAATTAATTTTTAAATTTTACATGGGTAAATCTTATAAAAATCAGCCAAATAGTCCATAGATAAATTGTGGATGACGTTCTCATGTAGAGATCTAAAACACTGACAATAAACCAGTGTACTGAGAACCAATGAGGCTCATTAATGACGTTGGTGCTGGATAAGCATTCACAGAGTTAACATAACTTCTTCAGGAGCATTAAAAACATTAAAAACCTTCCTTTTAATTATTTTCTGTTACCTAGTTCTTCTTTTTTCATTCTTTTCTATGGATGCAAGTTCCGAAAAACTAGAACATTATAGTCTTTTATATATAGAAAGCACAAAAAATGGAAGTCTACTTATAAAACTGGGTTATCTGTGAGAAAGACCATAATACTAAAAGAGGGGATTATTGAATATCAGTCAATAAATAAGAAGTTCCTGAGTTATGACATCTAGTTAGAATACTTAAACAGCCATTATCAACTAGTTTCTCCAGAGAATGAAATCCTAATAATAAAAGGAATCCATTGTGTATAATAATGAATTTCTCTTTCATGCATCCAGGATGGTACTAGTTATGTGCCATCCATGAAAGAACTAAAATATAAGTCACTAAAATAATTTTGAGTGTAATAATACAAAACTCAAAATATAGTAAGTTAAAAGTTTGGTTATGCATACAAATACTTCAGTCTGAAAACCAGGATTATTATTGTAGCTGTTGTTTTGTGAGATGTTGTGGTTTTATAAGATGAGAATACAAAAAGAGCCCTGCTTCAAGTTTGGAATATTTTTGACTGTTTGTAATTTATAACAGAGCCATATGGAGAATTCACATACTAGTTGTCAACTGAAATTCATTGATAATTTTACTAATCAATATTTAAATTTTCTACTTGTCCTTTGACTAGCCCAAGTTTATTTCCAACCACGCAGTGCTTGTTGGATGTAAGGGTTAAAATACCCATTTTGGTAGTGTATCTCCTAAGATACTGCTGATACTAGTTCTCTACCCCCCTGCTTCCCCAAATTCTGAGTTTTTGGTCTTCCTAAGTATTTAAAGTCAAATTTTATTTAGTACTTCTTTTTTTCCTCTCAGTTTATATCCATGTTGCGGATTGAGATAGATTTTTTTTTCTTGTTTTGCATTCGTAGTCTAAAATATCACTTTAATCTTTTCTAGCCTGGCATTTTTTGCAAATATAATTCAGCCAGTGACTGAAAGAAGTGGTATGTATCCTTAGAAGTTTCTACTGGAAGATTAGGAATCTAGGATTTGTATTCAGACTCAACTCTGTAAATACTTGTAATGAGAACATAGTGAAGGAAAAGAAAACAAGATGCAAAATCATGAGCAAAAAAATCCAACGTTAATACAAATGAAATATTAGCCTGACCAATCAGTTTAGGTTTTAAGACATAAGGTGAATCTCTTAAAGGGATTACTTTAATAAATTCAGGTAATTTATTTGAAGGTATGTGATAAAATTGCTAAAGACAAAAACAAAGTCTGAGCAATGAATTTCTTGGAAGTCATGTGATGAAAGCTCACTGCCACATACTACAGAATCTTAATAATATTAGAGTAGTTTAGGTACAGGAGGAACTCCATTCAATTAAATTCTGTGATGGAATGAATATACTCAGTGGCACTTACACTTTCACAAAAAAGCACTGCTGAAGATCCTTCAGAATAAAACACATCTTCCATAATATGTTATAGCCTACCTCCAATGATAGGAAGTAGGTGGTATGCTTGCAAAATCATTTATGCAAAAGCCTCTTACCCGTTCATCTGCACTGCCTGTTGCATGATGGGAATAATTGATGAGACCAGGGATGGGCTGCTCACCGTGTGCCATGATAACAGCAGGACTGGTGTAGAATGGATGCTTCTAATGCACAACACATAACAACTATGAATATAGTGACAAGAAAACATGAAACTACACAAGCAAAATGACTGGAAAGGAAAAAGGGTGAAAAACAAATGGAACAATGAAATGTCAAACCAGTTTAGATTTCGAATGCTATAACCCTTTTTCTTAAGATTGAAATTGGTGGTACTTTTTACTCTTTTAATTAAGAGTAAAAAAGAAAGAACATACATTTATTTTTAAATGTACCTAATTTACCAATAAGTTCCATAAAAACAAACAAAACAAAACAAACCTCACAACTTAAATACTAGCCTTAAGTAAGAACTTAATGGATCAATAAATAGGTCTGGAGATAGAATCACCTGGTCTTCAGTGAAAGAATCATCTACTGGTTATCTGAATGGACACTTCAAAAGGATCTCTATGATCCTTTATAATCTGTATGTTACGAAACAAAACCCTCATGCTATCATCATAACCAAAATATCTGGATGATCCATAAAACTTTAGGAATTACTTAAAATGGCAATTAGATTTTCAATCTGTATGCTTTCAATCAATAAACAGTCATTATTCCCAGAAGTGGTATGTTATTTCCTGATGATTTTAAAGCATACTGGGTGGATTATACTAGGTATGCATAATAATATAAATCATGTTCTATGGTTTTAAGATGACCAAATTTATTCAAGTACCTTATGGTACTCTACTCCCAGAATTTCCCCAAAAGAAGTTTTAATACTTTGATACTATCCTAACACTAGTGCTTTATTAAATTAAAATGAAAATACCTTATATCCATTTCCTCTCTACACCACTGTGGTAATTTGTGTCAAGTTATATTTAAATAACTGCTTAGTTAATTGCTGAAAAGCCTTATATTAAACAGCCTTTATTTCCTTTTTAACTAATCTCTTCAATCATCTAAGGTCTCCTACCTTCAGTTTGCTATTGTTTTAAGAATTGGTCAATATTTGATGTTTTGAATTTATGAACATTGTATATTTAGTATGATAATAAAAATGACACCTCCAAAGAGTTCTTCAATGTCACATTGCTTATTATTGCAGCTATTACTTCACTGTACCAGCAGTATCTTTAATGCCTCAGAACTCAGAACATCCTTCAATGTGTTCAAGGACTCTACATTGTGGAAGAAACATAGCTCTGGAGTGTCGAGAGTATCCCAGTTCTTTATAAAGGATGTACTGAAGAGATTTTAAACTTAGGGAATGATGGCATGGGAAGATTGATGAAATCAGTACATTTACCTGTGGGTCCTTTAGATCTTTGAGTCTCTCAGCAGGCTTACCTTGGCAGCAATAGCTGCTGCTGTTATATGTGATGAAGAACTGTCTTCTGTGGAAGCAACGCCACTGTCTTTCTTCTCTTCTTCCTCTTCCTCACATTGAACCCCTTTGTCTTCTGTCTGTTTATGAGGGCTAGTTGTGGGAGGAGGGGAAAGAGGAGGTGGTGGGGAAGGTAAATCTTCAAGTTCATCATGTACTTCCTTTACTTTTACAATGGCATCACGTAAAAGATCAATGGCATGAGGTAGAGCTGGCAGTATGAACTGAAAGCATTCCTGTATGCAAGAGGAAAAAAATGAAGTACTTTTGTAGGCATATAAAATGGAAGCAATCAAATTTATTTGTGACTTTGGAATTGTATTTCTCTTTATCAGTCTTAAGAATAAATCTTGAGTATTATTAAGCAGTCTTAAAGCATTATTGTTGTAATATGAAATATGAAGTAAGTATGGCATATATTACAGTATTCTCTGAAGAACTATAGTACTATATAAGCAAACAGTACATTTAAAACACTTTTTATGCAACTTTGGGGTTTAAAGATACATTGTGGGAAAAACAGTTTTCATCTTTCTAATTAGAGCAGAGCACTATAACAAACCAATTGAGGATGGAACTATTTTATTCAGAGATCTCAAGTTCTGACTATCATCACAAGGCATAGCTAGGCAACGTTAGATATAATTTTGTACAGAACACTGCATTGAAGTCAACACAGTCTTCTGCTCAGCTGCTCACTATTAATAATATATCACCAAAAAGAGAATAGGTGAGAACATTAACATTAGAACATAGGACCAGATATGTTTGGGGAACATGTTTGAGCAGCGGCCTTTCTCTTTTACATTTAAGTAACTTACCTTAAAATGTTATCTGTAAAGACGTATCTTAAGTTCATGTAGGGTTACTGGACAATGTGAAAGTGTGCCCAATATTTTGATCTCTTTGTATGACTCAATCACTTTACTGATAAAGACTGTATAAAAAAGAATTTAACCTTAACCAAAAGGAGGTCTGGCTTTTACACTCAGACTTTGGGAGTTGGTCTCTAGTTCCTTGGAATGTCGTGCTTGACAGAATAATCTTTGTGCCCTGGCCAGGTGCTCAGCAGGTTGGAGCATTGTCCCATACACCAAAAGTTTGTGGGTTCAGTTCATAGTCAGGGTGCATATCTAGGTTGCAGGTTTGATCACTGGTTGGGGTATGTATAGGAGGCAACTGATTGATGTTTCTCTCTTTTTCTCTCCCTTCCTCTCTCTAAAAGCCTAGGGCTTTAGCTACTGGACAGTGTAACAATGTGGTTTATTATGAGGGCTTAGGGAAATATATCACTTTTGCCTCTGGAAGGAACTAGACAGTAAAGTCATCAGTTTTGCCTTTGGAAAGGGCTAAATGTCAGCTATGTGCACAATATGTGATCAAGTCCCAATAAAAAGTCTAGACACCAGAGGCAAAAGTGAGAGTACCTAGCTAGCAATACTCAGTGTGTATATTCTTATATTACGGAGAGAAGGCAATGAGAGGATGACCAGAAGTTTCTCATTTGGTACCTCTTTTAGACTTCTTCCCTTGGCTAATTTCAATCTGTATTCTTTCCCTGTAAAACACTGTAACCATGAGAATAATAGCTTTCAGGAAGTTCTGTGAGTCCTTCTATTGAATTATTAAAACTGAGGGTGGTTTCAGAAATCCCTTGAATTGCAGCTGGTGTCAGAAGTGAGGGCAATCTTGTGAAGTGTTCCATCGTTGTAGTTGGCTAACTTATGCAGTTGGCCAATACTCCCTACAATTGGTGTTAGAAGTGGCATTTACTAGAAAGACTCTGATGCATGAAACATGTGATCTGGGAGGAGGAAGGATGAGAGTGAGGAATAATGACTCTTTAGAGCCTGAATGAACACAGGTTCACCCACAGAATGGAAACACAGCTGTGCTGTGATTAGTTATTGAAGATAAAAGTTAGCAATGGAATTTCAAAATGAAAGATTCAACTCCTAAGGAGTTGTGCCATTGGATGCATAAATAAATGCAAAATAACAAGAAACAAGGTACATATACAATCCCTTGGTTACTGTTATCTGTGCTAGCCAAAATTAATGTAAGGGAGAATGCTGGGTGGATCCTGAGGCTGAGCCAAGCTGAAATTCTGGCTGGTCTGATATATATAGTTGGTAGCCTCAGAGCTGCTTCCAAAGGAAAAAAAGTTAGGTTGAAGCAATAAATAGTGAATAAAGTTAGAATGATTCATAAGAGAATGGAGAAAGAGAATGAGAGATACAAGGAACTTGTCTTAGCAGGGTGGAAACTGAGAATATCATGCTTGGCAAAATAAGTCAGACAGAAAAAGTTAAGAAGAACCATATGGTTTCACTCATAACTGGAATATAAAACTGAAAGCAACAAATGAACAAACAAAGAAACAAACAAACAAAATTCCTTAGACACAGACAACAGTATGGTGGTTATCAGGGGAAAGGGGGTGGGAGGTAGTCAAGGGTAAAGGGGTCCAATATATGGTGACTAAAGAAGATTTGACTTTGCGTGGTCGGCACACAATGCAATATAGAGATGTATTATGAATTGTACGCTTGAAACCTATATAATCTTATTAGCCAATGTCACCCCAATGAATATAATTAAACAAAGAAACAAAAATGAAAAGGCTAATAAAGTGAGCACTGATGGGGGCAAAACAAAGGTCTTAATGTAGCACTGTTGTGGGTTGAGTAAACAGCTGGGAGCACTTGCTGGTCTCCTGATAGAAGTGTCTCTGTTTTCCTGGTGACTATGGTCACTGGGTTTAATATGAGGTCCTTGTGGTTTGATATGAGGGCTTTGAATCCTAAACAAATCTCTACTGACCTGAGTTTAGAAATATTTAAAAAGCTAACAGGCAAAGATGACTGTAAGAAACCTCACCTTGAATCATTTAAAGTGATGGTCCCATATCTAAACCGAGACAAAGAGTCTGGGTCCCTTGGCCCAATGCAGGCCTAGAAATCCAAGGCCGTATGCACAAAAAATGAGTAAAATGGTCAGGGAATGAAGAAGAGATTTTGGGGGAACTTTTTGATATGGGAGTCCATGTACTGTGATTCTAAAACCTACTGAAGTCCTAACAAGGGATACTATTAATTTGAGAGGATATAGGAATGAAATAGGAATTAAGGTAAAAGTTTGGATGAAATAGAATGTTTATACAGTGAACTTTTTGTGAGGTGAATATCCTTTACTTGAATGTATTATGGGAATGGATATTGTATTTGGAGAACTTTTCCCCTACTTAGTATTATAAAACAAGGCATGTGAATCCACTCTTCCACCAATATAGATTGGATATGCTAAGTGGGAATCAGTAAGATTGTTTCAGCCCACAAAGGTCATTAATTTGCTGTACAAGAGCCCTGAGTGGAGTGCAAACTGGGGCTTATGGCAAAAACATGTGAGTGCCACCCAGCAACAACTGCTGGGATTTTGGACCAGAAAATTTCTATTTGAGAAGGCAATTACTAGCTTGTTACTGAACTTTGAGACTTCTCTTATTATTGACAGATATAAAATAATATAATCTTGAAACCTGAAATATCCATAATGTCTTAGGTAATGGCAGAGAAATGCTCTAATGGGGAAGGCAATGCCCAGGAGAATTCCATAATAAAATGGAAATGGTGGATATAGGATCATGCTACCAGGAGAATGCAAGGAGGTACTCACGAGCAGGTAGCCTCTTTTCACCTAGGGCCGACTTCGGAACCACCTGAGGAGCTGCTGGATCCTATGGCCACTTGGGCCACTTAGGCGGTGCCCTATAAACAGCTTTCTATTGATCAACAAAGAGCTGCTTGATTTATGGATGGCAATTCCAAGGTGAAGGGACAGCATCCTGTTTGGAAGGCCGCCACTCTGATTGAAGAAGGTAAAAACAAATCAGCTCGATGGGCTGAACTGCATGATGTTTGGCCCTATGTTTGGGTTTTTATTGACTCATGGGAAGTGTCTAATGGCCTGGCCATATGGTCAGGCTGAAGGACAATGGAAAACTGGTCTACTAAAGGGATTCCTGTATGGGACATGGCTATATAGGAATCACTCTGGGAATGCAAGGGGTATATTAAAGTAGAATATGTTAGTGCCCATCAAAAGAACCCCCTTCCAGAATTAAAAACTGATTGGAACTGGTGAGCAGATGTCGCTGTGCTTCTTGAAATGGCTACCTGGGCCCACGAGATCAGTGGACATTAGGGGGCTTCAGAGATGGGATGAATGTAGATATATTCCCCTTGCACTTTCTGAGACACAAAATGCCAACAAGAACTGTTCTGTCTGCTAACAAGAGAGACAGAGATGGCAGAGGGCTATGCAGAAGATCCCACAAGGGGAAGGTCCTGCACACAGCTAGCAAGTTGGCCTGATGCCAGTAGTTCCTGGAGGCTACAAATGGGTCCTAACAGGAATAGACACTTACTCTAGAGTGGGCTTTGCTTAACCATAGGTAGATACAAATGCTCAGTGTACTATGAAAAGATTAGAACAGAAGATATTGCGTCAATGACCATTATACCAAGGAACACACTTTCATCTACAGAGCAATGATTTGATAGAAAATTTGAATGGACAACTGAAATATTGGTTATCTCAAAGGGGAGGAGATAAAGACATGAAGGGCTGGTGTACACACCTTCATTGGTGTGTGATCACATTCAACATGAGGGAGGCCAAGGGACAGTCCCCACTAGACAGATTCCTCTACTTTTCTGGGGAAGTGAGGACTGGGGGAGGATGCTCTTAGGATATACTTTTTACTTTAGGACTATACTTTTTTCTCCCACATCACCTCAAATTTTTTCTTCTACCAGATGTAGAACCTCTAGGACCAGGGCTGTAACTTTGAGTGTCTATTAGTTCTGTACCTGAGTAACCCTACCTTCTATGAATGGAAATGAACTCGGTGGGAGGCACTTGCTAAACAAGTATTACTGATGGCAATCTGGATTGCACAGTGACCAAATCAACTGTCTCATTTAAAGATTTTCAAAGGAAAAGTTTGGGTATAAATGGAGAGAAGAAATGATAGCTAAAAGTTAATGAATGAATAAATGGATTATACAATGAGGGAAATACAATATTATATCGATGTATCAAAAGAGGTTTAAAACAAGAGATGATGTTGTTTCTTAGCTCAGTTGTAACAGATACCAGAAAGGGAAACACCATATGTTGTTGAGACTATTGCTTTAGGAGCATGCCAAGCCTTAAACCTGAGTAGCATCATTCTGGGAGGCATTTTTGTCACATGATATGATGATAGACTAGGCTAACTGTTAATGTGTATGTAGAAATCCAGTTATGCACACCAGTATCTTCTGACTCTCATTTTCCACACTGTTTATACTACTATACTGTGTTATGTGATAATACTGACAGTTCAGTAAGATTATACAACTGATATTGTGGTTATATGCACTAAGAAACTGAGTTAAAGCCTCCTCAAAATGTAATACCAAAGGAAAATGACTGGCCTGAGCAAGACAGCTAATTTCTATGCATAATTTCTATGATAAACAGTTTTATGTGAATGTATCATAAACTATAAATAGTAGATCAAGGTAGTAAATCAGTACAAAAATATGAAAATGTATGTAATAGCTATAAAAGATGGATTAGCTGTTTCTCTAAATCTATCCCAACCCCACACTGGCTTTTCCAAATCTTAGGCATATTCATACTTACACTGTTTTTGTGTCTATAATAAAAATGCTGAAGTCAATAAAGATGTCCAGCCAGACAAATACAACCATTTTGCTATAAGATACAGCACTGGCCAAAGGCCAGGGGGTAGCTTGTCTAATAAAGAATTAACCTTATTCAAAGAGAGTCTGGTTTTTGCCCTCAGTATCTGAGATGTGATAGGAACATCTTTGTACTGGGGATTTGACCATCAGACAGTTTAACAGTGTTATTTTTTGTGGGGGGCTTTGGGCAATGTGGTATCAGTTTTGCCTCTGGAAAGTGTTGGACATTAAAGGTATCAATCCAACTTCTGGGAAGGGCTAGAGACGAAAGGTCAGCCATATGAGCAGTAGGTGATAAGCCCCAGTAAAAACTCTGGACACTAAAGGTTTGAAGCTTCCCGGATTGGCAGTATTCACTGGGTTGTTATACATTGATACCAGGAGCTTGATACTTTCAGGACTCCACAGGGAAAGGATAACAGAAGCTCCCATTTGGTAATTCTCCTCTACTTCTTCCCTTGATTGATTTAATCTGTATCCTTTCCCTGTAACAAGCCATAACCATGAGTATACCATCTTTCAGTGAGTTCTGTGAGTCTTTTTAGTGAATTATTGAAACTGACAGTGGCTTTGGAAATGCACTGAATTGCAATTGGTGTCAGAAGTGAGGGTAGGGTTGTGGCGTACTCCAACTTATTGGTTGGCTAACTGTCACAGCTGACCAAAACTCTGTACGCTAAACCATACATTTCTCAAGGTTTCTTACCTGAGATCCTTTCTTGCTACCTGGCAAGTTAATTATGAGAGTTTTCCCTCTGATTCCACACACAGGTCTGAAAGGAAGGAGAAACTTGATGAATAATACTAAATGGCAATGTATTGTTGGTTTAAACACATTCAACAAAAATCAATCACTGTACTGTACATGTGAACAACTGTTTTAGAAATAAAATCGTTGTGGCTAGAGACTCACCAATTGCTATCCAAATTGGGAAATCTGCCTGAGGTTTTTGCAATAACAGTTAGTGTGGTAGATGGGAAATATGTGCTGAACATGGAATCAGAATAAATTAAAGCCACTTTAAAGAAATAATGATCAAATTATCTTTTTCTTCTAACTTCAGGTTCTTCATATCTCATACAGGTGTGAGATTTTACCATCTAGTCCCCTCATATCCCCTTGCCCCCTGCAATCACCACACTGTTGTCCATGTCCATGAGTTCTTTTTCCAGTTTTCTCAATCCCTCCACCTCCAAAATTAAAATAAAATGATTTTAATGACACAGGGTATTAAAAATGACTAGCATAATAATATTTATGTTTAAAAATCTAACCCATAAGGCACTCAAGAGCTAAATGAGACATGTGAGCTCTTCTCCAGAAGTCAGTAAGTTTTAAAGCAAAATAATGTGTCTCACAAATGAAGGGCAGTGGGGAAGAGTTTGGTGAACTCAGTTGTTAACAGATCCACTGATAAACAGTCAATTTAATGTAAAAGGTCTTTCAGAAATCACTGTAAATTTCCAGGCTACTTTTAAACCAAGTGGTTTACATTAGAAACATAAACAGTAGGGAAACACTGGAAAACTGAGATAAGAGTTGAAGGACTCCATGAGTTGGAATCATGCTCTACCAACAGCTGCCTGTGTTACTTTAACCTGGCAACATCTCATTTTCATCACTTGCATCAAAGGTATTGATTAGATCAGTCTATTTCTAAAACTGCACAGCTAAGATTGAAAAAGTCATGTAAAAATAATTTTCCTAAACTTCTATGGTTGAGTTTATTCCTTAACTACTTCACTTTCTAAAATAACCTAAAATGATCTATTTTGATTTTTTAAATTTTCCTATTCACAAAGAGAAGAGCTGACAGCTTTTTTTTTAACTTTTCATATTATTTTGTTTTCAATTGTGATTTAATTGACAAATAACATTGCATTAGCTGTAGGTGTGGAACATAATGGTTTGATATATGTATCTACTGCAATAAATTTATTGTGACTATCACAATAAATTTAGTTAACATCCATAACTATAGTTACAATTTTTTTCTTGTGATGAGAACTCTTACAATCTATTCTCTCAGAAACTTCCAAACATACAAAATGATATTATTAACTATAATCCCCAGGATTTATGTATCTTATAGGTGGAAGACTGTACCTTTTAACCACCTTCACCCATTTCACCTACTCCTCAATCCCTGACTCTGGCAACTGCCAACTTGCTCTCTGTGTCTATGGGTCTGGTTATTTTAGATTCCACATGTGAGATTATATAGTATTTGTCTTGTCTTGACTTATTTCACTTAGCAAATACTTTCAGGGCCCATCCATGTTGTTGCAAGTGGCAGGATTTCCTTTTTTACGGCCGAGTAATATTTCATTATGCGCCCGCGCGCGCGCACACACACCCACACGTGTGTGTGTGTATCCCTTTCCCCAAGTTAGGGACATTTTCAGCCATTGATAGATGAATGGATAAAGAACAAATCATGGCTGAAAATGTCCCTATCAATGGACACTTAGGTTCTTTCCATGTTTGAGCTATTGTAAATAATCATCCAATAAACATGGGGGTGCAGGTATCTTTCTGAGACAGTGATTTCATTTCCTTTGGATAAATACATGAAAGTAGAATTGCTGGATCATATGGTACCTCTATTTTTAATTTCTGAGGAATCTTCACACTGTTTTCCATTCTGGCTGAACCATATTACATTTATCCCCACCAACAGTATACAAAGGGTTCCCTTTTCTCCACATGTTGCTGTTATCACTTGTATTTTGATAATAGACATTCTAACAGGTGTGAGGTGATAACTCATTGTGGCTTTGATTTGCATGCCTGTAATGATCAACGATATCTACTATCTTTTCATGTACCTATTGGCCATCTGGATGTCTTTAGAAAAATGTGTATTCAGATTCTCTGCCAATTTATAAATCTGATTTTTTTAAACTTAGTTTCATGATTCTATATCTTCTATATTTATCTTTGATATTAACCTTTTATCAAGATATATTACTTGCAAATATCTTCTCCCATTCTGTAGATTTCCTTTTTATTTTGTCAATGGTTTCCTTTGCTGCATAGCTTTTCAGTTTGATGTCCTGCTTGGTGGTTTTGCTTTATTGGCTTTGCTTTTGAAGTCAATTCCAGAAAAGTAGTGCTGAAAATGATGTTCAGGATCTTATTCTTAATATTTTCTTCTAAGAGTATAGCTTCAGGTATTACATTCAAGTCTTTAATCCATATTGAGTTGATTTTTGTGTTATGTTGTAAGATAGTGTTCCTATTTCATTCTTTTGCATGTGGCCATCCAGTCTTCCCAACATTTATTGAGACTATCCTTTCCGCACTGTATATTCTTGGTCCCTTTGCCTTAAATTAGTAGGCCATATATATGTGTATTTATTTATGGGTTCTCTATTTTGTTCCACCTATCTGTGTGTCTGTTTTTATGCTGATACCATACTGTCTTGATTACTATGGCTTTGTAATATAGTCTGAAATAAGGAAGTGATTTTTCTTTTTATAAAGATACTTTGGCTATCTGGCCTCTTTTGTGGTTCCATTAGGATTATTTGTTATATTTCTGTGGAAAATGCCATGAAATTCTGATAAGGGTTGCACTGAATGTGTAGAATGCTCTGGGAAATATATACATAAGGCCTTTGTTATGGTAAGGTGGTTTCCTTCTATTTGCAGTTTTTTAAGTGTCATTAACATGAACACATACTCAGTTTTGTCAAATGATTTTTCTGTATCAACTGAGATGCTCAAGTGTTTTTTTACCCTTTATTCTGTAACTGTAGTATGTTACATTGATTGTTTTTTTTGTATGATGAACTATCCTTGCTTTCTAAAGATAAATTCCACTTGGACATAGTGCATAATTCTTTTAAAATGCCTCTGAATTTGTTTTTCTAGTATATTGTTGAATATTTTTGCACCAATGTTCATAAGGAATATTGGTCTGTAGTTTTCTTGTACTTTTTGTCTGTCTTTCTTATCTGGATCATGCTGGCCTCATAGAATTAGTTAGGAAGTATTCCCTTTCCAAATTTTGGGGACTGTTTGAGAAGGATTAGTGTCCATTTTAAAAAAATGTTAGGTAGAATTATTTAGTGAAGCCATCTGATATAGGCATTTTATTTATTGGGAGGTTTTTGATTACTGATTCAATCTCCTTACTAGTTATAAATCTTATAGAGCTATTTGGATTTTCTATCTCTTTGTGATTCAATCTACTAGGCTTTGTGTTTGTAGGAATTTGTCCATTTCATCTAGGTTATCTAATTTACCAGCATACAATAGTAGTTCATAGTAGTCTTTTATAATCATTTTATTTCTGGAGAAATGATAGTTATGTACCCACTTTCATTTCTGAGTTTAGTAGTTTACACCTCTTTTTTTCTTAGTCAATATAGCAAAGTTTGTTAATTTTGTTGATCTTTTTGAAGGCCCATATTTGGTTTAGTTCATTTTTTTCTGTAGTGTTTTTGATTTTCTATTTTATTTATTTCTGCTTTAATCTCTATTATTTTATTCCTTTTGCTAGCTTTGGGTTTTGTTTATTCTTCTTTTTCTAGTTTCTTAAGTTGTAATGTTAGGCAGTTATTCTGAAATCTTTCTTCTTAAATGTAAGCATTTCTAGCTATAACTTCCCTTATTAGTATTGTTTTCTCTGAATCGCTTAAGTTTTGGTAGGAATCATGGAGCTGAATATGCAGGAATATGTGCTGAAAGAAAAGGACTATCAATCCAGAATTCTCTACCTACTGAAAATATACTTCAGAAATGAAGGTAAGAAAAAGGTGTTTTCAGATGAAGGAAAGCTATTAGAAGATCTTTCCAGCAGATTTGTCTAAGAACTGGAAGTCTCAGTCAATAACAACACAACAATGATTAACACTTAAATAAGACATTATAAATCAGTTGCTATTCTAAGCACTTTACAAGGATTCACTCATTTAATCCAAAGAAGATTGGTATTATTAACATCCTCATTATACAGATGAAAAAACAAAAAAGATGTTAAATAGCTAGTTAGTAGAGCCAGAATAGAACCCAAGTCACCTGTCTGACTTCAGACATTATGCTCTTAACCATTACTTGATATTATTTCCCAACTTACTTGCACAGAAAACCTGTAGAACGTTAAGTAATCAAGTAGATAAAAATGATTTGAAACAGATTTGGTGAATTTAGAGTTATTATTTAACTCTGCTCTCTAGAGATAAAAACAGGAATGCAAGGCACCAACATGATACATTACCTCAAAAAAATTCTGTTAGAATTAAAATGAAATATTGATTTATCAATAGCAACCATAACAATAAACATTTTTTGAGTACTTACTATGTGTCAAAAGTTGTTTTGGGGGGCTGAGGACATAAAAATGAATAAGATAAAGCTCTTGTCCTTAAGGATTTTATACAAACTAGGTAATATAGACAAGTAAGTAAATAATTGCAATATAGCATGTGTTATAATAGTAGCATGTACAAAGCCCAAATCACATATGAGGTAAAAATGCCATAGAAAGAAAGCATCAATCGAATCATGGCTGTTTTAGGAGTGAAATTTTAAAAAAGCTTTAAAAAGCACAAAAAATGAACATTCATGGAAATATTCTATAATTCCCTTTTCTATAATTCATGTAGACTATTATCTGTTTCAAATCTGTGAAAACTCTCATTTAAGTCAGCAATGAACAAAAAGAAAAGTCAGTGGAATCTGTTACCCTTCTTTGTATGTTTTAATTTTCAAAGCCTTCAGTATAAAGATGATGAGCTTATACAAAGTACTTAGAATCAGCTCATGCTGATTAATTTTCCACTTATTCAGCAGTCTAGTGCTTAGTAATTATGTAGATTCAAAAGGTAGGAAGAAATTAATCTGGAAATCTTTCAATAACACAAAAAGTAATATTTTTATAATAGATCAAGAAAGCTATAGTCAATTTAAAGAGTTACTTCAACAGATGCAAAGAACAAGTTTTCCACGTTAACTGTGGGATCCTTAAGGTAAGGGCCAGACCTTATTTCTTTTTCTATCCTTAGTATCCCTAATGGTTAATATGGGGCCTGGCAAATAGAGCATTACCATGTGTGCTAACTTAGAATTTTTATTATGAAAGAATTAACAATAAAAAAGTTTGTCTTTCTTGACTTTATGTCTTGTATGCCAAAAAGAGCCTTCTATGTTCAAAGATCACAACACTTAAGTCCATAGAGAAAAGGGATCAAAGGTGACCCCTTGAATTCATGTGTAGGTAATATGAGAAAGGGTTAAAAAACAAACAATAAAAAAAATCAATATGAGCTCCTTAAAGATCAGCATGGACTTCTAAATTTAAAACTCTACCCTTCTACTTTAATTCTACTTTTGCTCTTACTAAAATAAAATGTTACAATATAGGGCAAGTGGGAGCAAAGGAAATACAGTATCTAATGATCATTCACATTTCCTAGTGGCTATGCTTCAACTGGCTGCCATTAATGGGATATAAACTTAGTCCAAGCAACAGAATGGGCATTATGACTCATATCCTAAGCATTAAATGCATATATTTACTTTTATATTCATATTGCACACAGGATCAACACATGGCTATAAATAATAATTATGAAATGTTTAAATTTTAAAGTTGCTGTGCATTTAGGTTGCTCTGAGGTCAACTGTCTATTTAATCAAGTTATTAAATCAATAGATTCTCACTAAGTTGACAGTTCTGTCTTTAACTTAAACAATATATGTTGTCATCATTAAAGGGAATTTTAATCTAACAGTTGCTAAAATAATAACCAATAAGTAACTAAAAAATCAGACTGAGGATGGATCTCAACATCTATGTCAACAAAGGCACGTATTTAAATATACTAATTTAATATAATAATAATAAATCATTAATTGAGCTTTTGTCATGATCTACATGTTAATATCTCTAGTTAAAAACTGGAATAAAAGTTCCTAACTTATGAAAACAACTTATTTATAAAACTCTACTGCTTAGTTTTATTAAATTAGGATTTAATGACAGTTAATAAATATTAATGATTGCAGATAATCACAAAAAAGAATAATTTTACATCTTAATAAACTGGACTCTCCTCTGGGTTAGTATTGACAACTTTTAGCAGTAATATAATACTTTTTAAAACTTTAAATATAATATGAAAATAAAAAGGAATTTAAAAGAAACTATGGCCAAGATTTGACTGGACAGAATACTAAGACTTTTAATTCTGGGGAACAAATAGGGCAAACTTAAGTGTTACAACTCAAGGTTCTTGTGCTTGTCAGTCTATTGTAGTGACCAGTGGTATGGAATTAATTTTCCTTGTAACATGTTGGTGACTTTCTTACCTAGAGAGCATGCCCAGAGGTGTAACATTAAGTGATCCCATCAGCATTGCCAGGGCCATCCCTGGCGCTTCCCGTTCTATTACTTCTTTTGTGGCCTGTAATTAAAGATTAAATAGTAAACTGAGTGAAATTAGCCAAAAAGAAGGAATGCAGAGTAGTAAAATTAACTTCAAATTATAAACCATGCTTTCTATAAGTCATTCTTTGTAGATCCTCAAACATTTTTTTTAAGGCATCAAGACTCAGTCCTTTGGGACCACTGAATAAGAGCTCAGGACCAGGACACGGTGGGGGTGGTGTCATTTATATTAGCAGACCTTTCTTATCCTTTACAACTCAGAAGTATTTGATAAAAGTCTGATATTGCCTAATAACCTAAATTTTAAAAGGAAGTATCAGACTGCTATAATAGCACAACAGATTTTCATAGGATAAGAAATCTGGGTAATTTTTTTTGGTCAATTACTCTTGAAATAATTAGTCCATGAAAACCTGAGATTATTTTGTATCTCTCCTAGCTCTAATTTTATGATATAATGAAAAGGAACTCAAAAAGTCACCAGTCAACATTTCCCATGTATTGGGTAGAAGAAAAGCTCCGGATTCCATATCTTCAATATAAATTAACTGTTTTAACAATAATGAATAAAGTGATAGGCTTTAATCATATAATAGAAGTTTTGAGAAAGGGCATTTTTCAGACAAGTGTGTTTAAACCTGGGATAAGCTAATTAAGGAGATAGGAAAATTTCATTTTCTAAAGGTGAACCAAAATAGGCCTATATTTATTATTCTGTGATGGTAAATATATGATTTTGGTTAAAACTTAGGAGTGAAATATATGATTTAATCAATTTCTAATCCTCTGTTTCTATAAATATAGATTTTAATACTTGGAGGTGATAAAAAATGAAATTGGTAAAATGTTCTAGTACATAAGAAAAAATGCAAATAAAACAAAAAGTAAATTAGAGAGTAACAGAGGGAAAGGTTCATATTTCAATATTTAATTAGAAGTAAAGATATTCCTAAATAAGATTGTAGCTCTGGGAGAAATTTTGGTTGAGGACTGGGCAAAGCAGTAATTTTACCTCAAGTATGTGTTAGAAGTCAGTTGATATTATGAATAAGCTTTTAAGATGATGTAAATTAGTATATCCCTTAAAATTACACAGAATAAAGGACTACTACAGTTGATGTAATCTACAACACTTAACAATGGCAGAATTTTAAAAATAAAATCTTTATTATATTTTATCCATTACTATTTAGCCTCTTTATCCCCCTCCCCCTGGCAATCACTTTCCTGTTGTCCATGTCCATGAGTCCTTTTTCCTTTATGCTCAATCCTTCCACCCCCTAAATTCCCCTCCTGAAAATTTTAAAGGAAAATTAACACTACCAAAATTCTTCTCAATAAAATGTGCTTTAAAAATAGAGGGCCAGAAGGCAGGACAAAAGGAAATTCTAAATTCCTAAATTTCGGAGTTGATTACCTTCCTTTAAAAATATAGTTAAAAACTGTCAAGCTAGCTTTATGCAGAATCTGTCCCTTGTTTTCCAAATTCAATCTACTTGGTATGATTTTGAGGTATCTTGGTAAGAAACACCATTTCCATGATATAATGATGTATTCCAAAGTATAGTAGCATACTTTAAGGATAAGGGAAGAAAATATCAACATATAGCTGAGAGGAAGTCTTTCACTTAAATAGATGGATGAAATATTTATCCATCTCTATATTAGTTATTAGGGTACCTACTATGTTATAGGAATAATTCTACACATTGATGTTACATTAATGATAATGAACATTTAAGAGTGTGCAAACTCACTGTCACCTAGTACATAAAAAACTCAATTGGCAAATTATATTTGAAAACTACCTAAAAGGGATATAATTGACTAAATTTTCTAGAGACTCTGAAACAGGGGTGTCAAACTCATTTTCACTGGGGGCCACATCAGCCTCAAGGCTGCCTTCAAAGGGCCAAAATAATTTAGGACTGTATAAATGTAACTACTCCTTTAACTGTTAAGGAGTTGAAATTATATTCAGCCCTTTGAAGGCAACTGAAAGGCTGATGTGGCCCCTGGTGAAAATGAATTTGATACCCCTGCTCTAAAATATACAATTGGATTTGGCCAGATCACAGTGGACTACCTGTAATGCCTCATCTCACTTTTCAAATAATTGTTTTACTGGATGTTTCTTCTGTGGCATGCAATTGAAGCCAATGAACTGTCTCAGTGAAATGCATATTTATATTAGAAAGTATTTGAGGCTACTGTTTACCACATTGTGGTTTGCTTTAGGAGAGAATCTACAGGAGAAAGTTCCTCTTAAGTGTCACAACTAGAAATGGGTTCTTTTCCGTGATACCAATATTTTTTTTAAAAATCATGTGGCTTGTGAATGAAGTGACCAGAGGGCAGGGAGTGGGGAGGGAGATAGAGGGAAAAGAAGGGGAAGGTTCTGGTCAAGGAGCAGGTATAAATGATCCATGGTCATGGACAACAGGGTGGGGACTGACTGTGGGATAGGTGGGCAGGAGAGAGCAATGGGGGGAAATTGTGAAAACTGTAATAGAACAACAGTAAAAAAAAAAAAGTTACCCTTGAGGACAGAGCCAAATTCATAGACACCTTTTTAGTAGGCTTCCTGAACACAACCTAATTTCACCTTATTTTTCTTTGTCTTATTTTCCATATTTATCTTATTAAAAGTTATGTTTTATATATGTGGGTACATCATCTTAATTATTTTTAAGCCATATATATAGTGGATGGATGGATTAATTAACTTTATATATTCTTTACACAGAGGTCTTCATCTTTTTCCAAACATAATTTAGGGAGGACAGTTCTTTCTGAAGACTTTCTAGAGAATTTTGGCTTATAGACATAAATCTTGTATTTTTAGAACAGAAAAGGAAAATATATATTGTGTGATGTCACTAAAAGGCATTAGTGCTGACAGTGGTGATAGAGATTGTCAGACTCTTTGGGACTAGATACACACCAGCCTTTTCTATGGGGTATCCCTAAGTAATGCACAAATTAGGCCTTTCTCACATCTAGGTCAAATATATATTTTCCATAAAACATTGGAACCTTCTACTTCCTTTTTATTTTCTCTTCCTCTTAAGCTGTTTGGTATAGCAGTGAGATCACCATACAATGCCACTACCTAGTTAAGGTCCATAAGAAAACAGGCTGGATGTATTGCAGCATCTAGCACAATATTCAACATGTGGTATGTATACTCAATAAATTTTGTTGAATAAAAGAATTCATGAATGAGCAAACCAATATGGGTTTAAAACCTGGCTTTATCACTTAGTTGTTCAGCACATTAGGACAAAATATTCGATCTCTCTGAGTTTCTATGTAATTATGAATAAAATGGAGATAATGATAAAACATACCCACATCTTACGAGAACTAACTGATGTAAATAAATCACCTAGCACACAGTAGTTATTCAATACATGCCAATTCTATGTCTCTACTTTCCAATTGACCTTACATCCTTGCAGTTTTGATCATACTGGTTAGGGAACAGAATTAATACAAAAATCCAGAAACCAAACCTATAAACAGTGGTTGATAACTAAAGGTAAAGGAAAAGTGAGTGGAGAGCAAGAACCTAAATCTCAGAGTGTTGGCAAATGGGGGCAGGAAGCAGAACACTGAAATAGTGACATCTAAAGGGAACAGGAGGTCAAATGGTGTGGGAATTAGGAGACAGGAGAGTAAGAGCTGGTGAAAGCATCTATAAACCATAGATGGGAAGCACAACTAGAAGAAAAAGAACAAGAAAATAAAACAAGAAAAAGTGATCTAAGATATTAAAAAGTTCAAACAAAAGAATAGTTTTAACAAATGTAGCTTTATCCTTTCAATCATGTACACTAGTTTGCTATAGATAATGAAGGTTATCCATGCCATTATTGTCTAAGTAGATAACAATTATTCATTATCAGTAAACTATTCATAATCAGTGGCAAAAGGATGCCATTAAAAGTTTGAAACCATTTTTCTTAATTAGCTTAACATTCCTACTTTCTTATACATCATTAATTTGATTATTAAATTCTTTTTCCTTGAGCAATAGTAGAAATTTATATTCCTTCTTCAGATATAACCTTTTCTGAACTAGAAGAGTCCAACACAATGAAGTTTAATTAGATCCAGCTTTTATCTTTAAATTAGACATTTTATCTTTAACTTCTAAACACTTTCTAAACTATGAAAGTTGCAACATCCTATGTAAAATCACTTATTGTGGTCTTTTAATTTTACCCTTGACACTTTGAAGATAACATTACAGTCAGAAAGATGCTTCAAAGACTGCTCAAAGTTTCGGGAAAAGAAAGTGTGCATAAACAATGATTCTATAGGCTGGGGAACTTGCCAGTGAAATTCAGGTCCATTTGTAACTTCACAGGAAAAATGACCTTAAAAAATGTTATTGCTAACAGACGATTATGTTTAAATGTTTCCAGGATACCCAATAGTTACATGTAAATGTGTAGAAATTCCTTACAAGCATGGTGATTGTGAAAAAAGCACTTAGTATAGTGCTTTCACTTGTTTTTATAGGCATTTACTAAGAGCATAATTTGTATTAATATTCACATGCTTGTTATTTGACTACTTGTAGATTTAATAAAATTCCCTTGTAATAATTACTGCAGTGCCCTCTGCTGATTAAATAATCTTAAGTAACAAAGAAAATCTTTGAAACACTGTCTAATGGCTATTAATAATGTTGTAAAGCTATTAAGATAGGACATGATCAGAGGAGAGGTACTCAAACTTAAATGTGCATCAGAATCTTCCAGAGGTCTTGATCAATAATGATTGATGGGCCCCACCCAGAGATTTAGATTTCAAAATTTGCATTTCTAACAAATGCCAGCTTATGCTTACAATGCTGGTCAGAAAACCACACTTTGAAAAACATACTGCAGATGGAAGTAATAAGGTAGATTCATGATAATGTGCATTACTTGATCTAATCTTCATGATCACCTTACAGTCAACTTTGTAAAGTAGACTGAAATAAATGTTAGGATCCTTCATAAAAGC